AAAAATGAGATCTGATGTAGGAAAAGAAAAATATGTGAAGCAGAATGTAATGATAAGGTTTTTAATCTGAGGCGTACGATTTTCTGATTTAACCACCACTGAAATTCACAGCCGTATAAAGAAACAGAATTCGGGGATATATACAGCCGCTGATCCATTTGTCAACATAATAACGTATATCTTTAGCAGATTTAACAATGACGCTGTATGTAAATCGCTTTTCAAGTATGGCTGTACTTAATTCAGAGTTCGTAAAATATTGAGGTAACGTAAACTAGTGCGAACTTGAACGCCATATTAAAAACTGACGGTTAAGTTTAATATCTTAAAGAATAAAGATTTACGGACTGACAAAAGATTATGTGTATATCTAGTTGGAAAGCAGCGTTGATGATAATGAACGTTAGACCCCTGCCAATATCGTGAGTCTGTAGAATTATGGTCTACTATAAAGACTATTAGAATAATGGGTTTACACAAATATAGTCGATCGAGAAAGTTAAAGTGGAAACACGGATTAACAATAATAGTTCGCGTTTCTTTGGTCGGGCTTACCAATGTAGAATTATGGTCTACTATGATATTAGTACTGCTCTAATATAAGACCTAATCCTAAAACTGCACATATGTCATGATATAACTGCCTAATATATAAGATCTTACGTGGAAGTCACATCGTCGTCTACACCAACTCACTGTATCGTAACAATTACCAGTACATAATGGAGAACAAGCTTAGGCTAGAGATAGGACAATATATTTAATACGAGTAAAAGATATAAGATAGCAGGGGCCATGCCATTTGATCAACCTCTATTCATTCAAGTCATTGTTCCTTCCTTTATTTATTTATTTGAACACATGAATATTGGTACAAGAGAGTGCCAATATATTTAAAATGAATAAAAGACATAAGGTAAAATTCCGCAGGTACCACGCCTGCATGATCGAGCCATGCCATCCGATCAACTTCAATTAATCCAACTAATTGTTCCCGCCTTTTCCATCGTTAGGTAATTCTCCGCGTTAAATATTGAATATCTATTTTCCGAGTAGTCTCGTGTTCAGCTTTGAGGATTGTGTGGTTATGGTCCAATGCCAATACAAGTCTTGTGTCTACTCGGTGTGCTTATACTAGCAAGCAGATAAGTTGCCAGTTATGAATATTTCATGTGCACGATTTCCGGACGTTCATATGAGCGGATAGATAGAAAAATTTAACTAGCTTCTACAAGGAGGATAGGTGTTACTGACCTACATATTCCAACAATATAAAATTCTTATTATACATGAGAAATAGATTATAAGTGCAAATAACAGAAATGCACATAAAATACATTTGTCTTTACAGAAGAAACATAATCTAACTTAACTAGGGTAAAGTAGTATGCTTATTAGTTAACTTTGTAAGTATATAAAAAATGACGAAGATTTAAGTGGTTCGTCTGTGTTATAATCTCATTCTTACGGTAATGACCCAAGCTATTCCTATTGCTTAGTATTCTCGGACACCGATTCACTCGACAAGTCCGCAAATCAGAACACGGTTGAACAGGAAAGAGATTATATTTAAAATAACAAGCTTGGATGGAAATAAGAAGCACAATAGGGAAAACGTCAGTATATTTATAGTTTTTACATGAGAAGATTCTAGAGTATTCTCCAACTATCGACTAGTGCTGAGCTAATCAGCGTGCACCAAAGCAATCGTGCACTGAGTATGCTTTAATCCAGTCTGTGTCCCGATAACAGTCTGTCTAGTGGTTTACTAATTGCTTTTAACACTTCAGATGACAGTGAATTTGCTCAGATGTTATAAAGTCAATACAAAATCTAGAAGAATGGACGATAAATTCCTCACTGCCAAACATGACATCCGTCGAATTTCTTAAGACTTAACAGACCACCAATTCCATCAAGATCTGTATCTTTTATGAATGATAACTATAATGAACAGCAGATGGGTTTCCGATTGTCCAATCGTGTTACATGTTTTAAGACGTCGCAAGTGTAGTGAACGAAAAAACAAGTGCGAGCAATCAAATGTATTTGAATATGAAATTACGGAACATCTTAGTCAAATCTGAAAGCCATACATTAAATACTTCATTTGAAAAATGTCAATCAATCGTCTCAGACTTCATTGTTCTTTCGTTTACGCATCAATTGTTCTTTGTCCTCGTTCTACTTCTTTAATTTCCTTAACGTTCTGCCTCCAAGCATTTCACTTTTGATTGATGGTATGCACTACTTATATTTATCGACAAGTAACACACACCACACAATCACTGACTGGAAACCTCTGATCCTTCGTCCTTAGTAAGAGGTTCTTTGATGTTGAATAGCTAAATTTTCAAGGTAATTATCTGTTCTATTATCGCTTGATCATTGGCACGCTTGTCGTTGTTAAAAAAAGCATTAAATTAAGATCAACTTAGCAGCATGTTTGTTGCTTTTCAAAGGTGTTTAAAGTCACAGGCTACTCCGTTTATTATTTTCTATATCTAATTTTATATCTACACTTTAACAAGAGACTCTGCTAGTAGTATGAAGAGAAAGCTGTTAATATCACGACCATATAACCAATTTTCACAGGCTTCCTTTTTCGTGGTGCCACCACATGGGCCGTTCATTTTATATCGCATGCCTTCATTACATTTCTGTATCGTTACTGTTTCTTCTAATCCAGTAATGTATATTAAAAAAGAAAGATATAAAGTTTACGCATATTCGAAAACATAGTCCTAAGTCTCATGCCAAGTGAGCTATTCACGAGAATAATCACTAAACTATATAGTAGAAGGGATGGTCTGAAGAGAGCAACCGAATCGTGAAAAATTGTAGCATCTGCAAAAGCAGTGACATTATCGAACGTACCTCGTTTACATAAGTACACATGTGGTATGCTCTTTGTACATCGACTGACAACTACCTTCTCATAGTTATCTTATAATAAATTAGCCGTGGATTATCCTTCCGTCGTATCATTGTGCCATGGCTGTTCTGAAGACGGTACAATACAAAGGACTTCCTTAAATAAATATATTAGTATGAGTAGACAAAAGGAAGAGATTGCAACCACCATCTCATGGGCCAGACTATGGCGTGCGATTAATTAGTGGGCGTTGGTTATGTGGTGGTCGGTATTCAATATAATCCTTAAATTTCGTATACAGTTCGTCTTGATAACCGTTCTACATAACGCCCCAACGGTATATTAATCAGAAGGCGAATACGAAGCATTGATTACGTTTATTACGAGATCACACACATATATCCAAATGTACAGATGCGTTAAACGAGCATAGAAGAGTTGTGCCGAAAGGCAATCAAGCGATCGAGCGAATATAAGTAAGCGAGTACAATCAAGCGAGCGAGAGCCAGAGCAAGACGAGAGTGTAATGAATATGAATAACATGGACATATATATACTTAGTGGAATGAATGAGTCATCGAATCAAATAAGCGGTTAGTAGTAAGACTAGCAGAGTGAATAAATGCCTAGGCAGTAAGCAATATTCAAGCAAACGTATTTCATACAAGCACAAAATAATAAGGGTACAATAAATTGTTATAGTGCGGATGACTTTTTCCGCTAAATAAGTTAGTAAAAGGGCTTAACTGAGTTAAGTGAGAATGAACTCAATCGCACGTGATTCGCTGTAGATATTCTTGGCCTTGGAGATGATCAATGAACTGTTAGGTATTCAGTGACCCGAAAAACCGGATGATCTGGTAACATTTTTATGGCTGCAACACCGACAAATACGAAGCAAGACAGCCAGCACATTAGCAGCCTCTGTAGCAGTAGGCTTCAAAATGCACAAAAGATAAAGCAAGATCCTCGAATACAACACAGAGAGCGAAAATTCAATCATATTTGATGGAGCTCTGGATGAAATCGGGACTTTCGCACACACGGACAGCATCATCAGCGAACAAGAAGGATTCGTTGCAGATATGCACGCACAAATTGGCAAATCATTTAAAAAATTAACATATGGAACCCAGACTATTTGGTAGAGAACGAAGCAGCTCCCAGATGAAGAGGAAATTGGGGAATGACTCACAATATAATGAAAGAAATCGTGAAATTCTATTTGGATTTAATCAGTATAGGGGAGACTATAGAAAGCTGATCAACAGTCATAACAATATCAGTAACTCCATAACATTTAATTAGATGGGATTACTTTGTACTTAATCGTATCACTCTGTGGTATATTTTATTCGATTATCACATTTTCTTAATTTGATCTACAGTTATTTACACCTAACTGCGTCAAAGTCAAGCCCTCATTTGGAATCCTCAAAACCAAAGAAGACATTACGCCGAGAAATGGAGACGGACATGAGAAGAATGAACAACAATTGGACAGGACTAGAAATGAAGGCTCAGGAGAGAGTTGGAGAATGCCGGTCGGCGGCGAATGTTTCACTGGGAGTAACAGGCGTAAGAAATAAATGTATCTACGAAGTTATAACAAATATCGTGAGTCCTGAAGACACAACGATAAACTAAAACTCGTTAACAACAAATTAGGATTTTAACAAAGTCAACATAATAATACTTTTGGATAGATGTCACAACTATTATTTCTACATATACCCATAAAATGGACAATAGGCGTCTATGTCAAGCGTTAACTACTGATTCATCTATTCACTTTTTATTAGGTAGTATAGTAATATTGAAAAGCTGTGTAGATTACACTTTATGATAACTGCACACATGCTGAAATATTGCTACAATCTTGATTGCTAAAAACACACACTTTCGAGTTTCTTATTCATGCCTGAGATCGGGTAATTAATTAATTATTTTAACACATAGATATTGGTACAAGGGGACATCAAATACATATGCGCCACACAGATCTCATTTGATATGTTTGAGGGCTATGTTACTGCCCGGGTGCCCAAACCGAAGCAGGTGATCTGGTAATTCCAAGACTTACTTTCTGTGACGCGTAATTGCAGATAAGTAAAAAAAGATAATTTGTGTTTGTATTCTTAATTATCAGTCAATGATAACTTTTAATTACAAAAGTTAAATTGTGAGTTCTAGCTTATACATTTACACGTCTGATTTGGGGAAACAATCAATATTAGACGGAAAATTAAGACCTTAATTGTTGTACTAATATAAACAATGAATCACCCATCCTCATTCAATTCGCATTAACAAATTACAAGAAATAAATGAACTGGATATTATTTATTGTTGCCTGGATAAAATGTACACAACAGCACTTGAAATGCGGAGTGACCTCTTTCATTGAATGTGGGTAATTCAGAGGAAGTCAATAAAAATACAAAGATGGTTATCAAGACTACTTCACATCTTATAAATCAAGAGTAGTGGTGATATCTGAATGTGTGAACATGGATCAAGTTTGCGCTTGTAATTTCGGCTCTTGGCTTTGCTTTTGATCTTGTTGAAGTTTACGATTTTGAATCCTGTGAACAATTCGTTCGAGTATCCGTCGAGCATCACAATCAGGGAAATTAGACATATCATAATATTGAGGAGCGATACGCACAAGCCTACATGGGGAGAGAATATGAAATAAGGTAAGTAATGGCAATACAGTAAGTAGTTTGTGAGATAATATTAGAGAATAAGAGATAGTAGAAAGTTTTATTTTTTTTAAAGTACTCAACACGCATTATCGAGCCAACTAGATTAGTGGTCACATTGCAACTTGGTCGACAGGATTCAATCTGCAATAAGAAGGACCTGACACATATTGACATTAATCACCACCCAGCGATCAACCAATCGTGAGTACATCTCAGTCCTACAAGAGGTTAGTTGCGGGCCGGATATCCCAGCGGTAACGCCTCTGACTGTGAAGCTGGGTGACAAACACCGAATTCGTCAGGGAGCATCAGTCCCCTCAAGATAACAGGTACACCTGTCTGACAAGTGCCAAATAGCACGAAATTCAGGTTCAGGGTTTCCTGTTAACAACCTTTAGTCATCATCTAATCTCGACATATAGTGCACACAATGTCAAGTCACCTAGATTAGTGGCCACATTCCAACTTGATCGATAGAATTTCATCTGGACTAAGGAGGACCTACCACACACGACATTGATCACTACCCAGTGATCAATCAGTTGTGATTTTTTGGAATCAATTGGATAATTGCAATTATAACTGAAACTACATACTATTCACTCCTTATAGCTACGCCTTGAATTAACAATCAAAATGGAATTTATTTCTATATTGATAGAATTCTTGCTGACTAATTAGATTCAACATTTCTGTAGAATATCTTACTGCACATTTAAGTATTTTAAAATAATCTCATCTGTTTCTATTCAAATGCTGAAACAAACAAAACCAATGTGCAATGGTATACTTATGAATGAATTTACATTCAAAAAATAAAGTTCATTAAAAAATCACCTTTGACCATAATAAAGTAATTTCTCATCTATTCATTTCACAGATTTTACTGAAAAAATATATATGCACGTAAAAAACCGATAAAAGTATAACTGAAATACAGTTTTAACTAACAAAGTAATGATGTATTAAGTTGAGCGCTATGTGTGCATGGATGGTAATCAGAAGAATTTTCACTAGTTGTGTATGAGCATACAGGTTAGTATGATAGTTAAAATATACACTTTGTGGACCAAGAATGATTTGCATTTCACTGAGTTTTAGAAAAGTCAACTGAATATAAAAAACTATAGAAATCTTACCAATCTGGTTTTACTTCAGTCACTGTACGTATGTAATTCTTTGTTGTAAGGACGAACTCATTGTACAACACCCATTCCGGTTTGTGATCCATTACTGTAGAGGGGTGAAGCTGGACCACTTGGTTGTCTTTTACAGTTAAATAATGTCCAGTACGTTCAAGATGCGCAACCTGGGGAGGGAGAATAAATAATAATTAAGTTGACTAATCTTGCTTCAGAAGTCCAGAGTAATAAAAAAATCTAGCAGAGTGACTACGACTATGCATATGTTTAGTTACAATCCAGGATACTATGAAGACTAATAATAAAAATACCAAAACAAAAGGGAATAATTGGATTGTAAATTGAACAGATGATAAAAATGATCGAAAATAAAGTTTTGCATGTTAAATATCATTCGTTTGGATCGTAAGTACAGTATTTATTTAGTCCTGTGAGGAAATCATACTAATGTAGAACATTCCGGAAAGGATGAATAAAAAGTTCTATCTAATAATCGACAAAAATAAATTCTGTAAAAAGATATATATCAAAGTGAAACAAAGAACTTTCTCTGTTATACCTGCATGAAAAAGCCAGATACCAAAGCTTTTCGAATGTTAATGTAATAATCTCGAGAAGTGAAGTCTGTACTTGAACGACGAAGAGAAAATCGATCCATGATACGTGATAATTGTACCCGAACGTTGTCAGCAGATTTTAATGAGCGGAAATTTATGAAATTATCATAACACCACTGTGGATCTTCATGATCTATGAATGTAAAAAACAAGTTGATTTGTGTTAGAAAAATAAATCCAAACTAAAAATGAATTCTTACAATGAACACATTTTTGGAACTATATTACTAGTATCATGTAGTGTTCTCAAGCGACCAACTAAATAAGTAACCAAGACGCAATTTGAGAAAATATAAATTGAAGTAATTGAAAATAATTTATGAGGAATTTAGAAAATAAGGATCTAAGAGAAGACAAAGAGTGGATGCAGTTGAGCAAACCATTTGAGGCAAGTCACCTAGTCTTTGACCATAAGTTAAGATATTCGCGGACCCAAATCTAGTCTGTACCTACCTACATGGCTTGATCGAACAGTGTCTTCATGGACTGATCCCATGTTTTCATTTGGCCGCCCCAATATTTTCCAATCAACACCAGACAACATCGCTCGTCGAGAAAGACAGTGGTTGAGGATACATAACACATGTTCCCAACCACCTCAGTCAATGAAGATTTGTTAAATTATCAAAGATTTACCATCTTTACCTAGTACTTTATCCCTAATCCCGGCATTGCTTACTCGGTAATCCCAAAATACACGAACCATGCTTAGAAGACACCTATGATCGAACTAGTGTCTTCACTAGATACTTATTGAAGACCTTAACACGTAGTAGGAACTTCGACCGTTAGACTCATGAAAGTAAGTGATTCGACAGACGGTATGTTTAGTTTGGTACTGGCACTGTCACAATATAGGCCCATAAACGTCCGCTAAGACGATCGATTGTAAGAACGCTGTGTGATGGGAATCACAGCACAATGTAGGATGAGACCTCTCGCCAGGACTTAAATTGTCTCATTCCTAGCCCGCAAGACATAGAATGCCAATGATTCCATGACAAGGACTGTTGGATTCGGGGAAGCATATTGGCCAGTGTCCCCATTTTTGTTGACTGGTTTGGTCTGATAGTCTGTCTTCACCTCTTTTGGCGTGTTTGTTTGAGGAGATCGATATCTTATAGCATATAATCTACTGATTATTAGTAATATGAAATTGTTAGTGTCAAAATGACTAATACATAATGTTAACTTGGATAAGTTTGTAAATCAACTGGAGATGTGAAACTATCAATCAAAATAAACATAGGTAATATATATGTATAAGAAATAATGTCATTACACATCAGATAAACTCGGAATTTATTTTTCTCATTACCTAATATCTTCGATGAAGCCCACCAACTTAGCAAGGGTCATAAAATAACATTGCAGTTACAGTTTTGGTGAGACTATAATTTATGGACGACCTTTGAGAGACGCTAGACTGACCGTGAGAGTGTCCACGTAATAACCAATACCAAATGAGAGTTATAAAAATGTGTGAGGAATTAGAATTATGATATACAGTTGATGATTAAGGTTAGGAACTAGATTTAGGATTTTCATCACGAACTAACATCAGCTATGCCTAAACTCTATTTAGCCAAATGAATTCCGAGCCGAAATCCGAGACCTGTTATCTTATACGTGATTGGTTCGCCCATAAATTATAGTCTCGCCACATTTTCAAATATAAATTCGGATATTAATTCTCAGAAATCGGGTTCGGGCAAATGGAAATTGTTTTTCTGGATGAAATGGAAAATCAGTTTCAAGAAATGGTCTTTTAGCTTACTCTGTTTGAAGGCATGATATACATTTAACATAGTCAAATGGTCACCGTCAATGTGAGCAAAACGCATTTTGGCTTCGTCTGCAGTTTTCTTGGAGTCGGCAGGGCGTACAAAGCATTGAGGTACTGAAATAAATAGGAACAGTTCCATATATTATAGACATTATCAGACGAGGAATCGGTCAAATTAGTGAAAAGATCTATCACATATTAGCTAAAAATAATGAAACAAAGAAATAATTGAACTTGCCTGATAACATTGAAGTGATACTCAGGATTTCATTTGAGCAGTTGTAATCGCAAGAGGCGATAACCATTTTGGCTAATTGGGGATCAAGTGGGAACTCAGCCATCATACTTCCTAGATCGGTTAGGTTACCATCATCATCAAGGGCTGCCAAATAATTCAATAACTCTAGAGCACGCATCAGAGTTTCCGGAGCTATTACATTCAACAAAAACTCATGATAAGAAAACTGGTATCGTAAAATTTTGGTGAAATGGTGATTAAATTAGTGAGACAAAAAAGCTGAGTCTTTCTGTTTCACAACTGTTATTCATACTGAAGCTTCTAAATACTAAATGAAAAGAGCGATTTCATTAGCGAACTCCTATAACGCGGATAAAACCGAAGATTTTGAAATGGTAAACCTTAGTACTGTAAAATCTACCTCCTAGGTATCGTAAAATATGCAGAATTTAAGACTACGTATATTGCAATACTAGACTGAGAAGTGTTACTAAAAATAGATTATAGAAACGAATATTTGCAGAAATAAGAGTCCGAAGGTTCATTTAGGGTAGTGTTAATAAGTGACATTTTAAATGGTCGAATGATGTACAAGTCACAACTTTTATCCCCACTTTAATTACACTCGCAATCCTTCACTAATTACTAAAATTGATTCATTTTACCGAAATTTTGAGACAAAACATTTCCCAAAAATATTTACCGACTATATTTCTATTTGACTTAAGAAACTTCAAAAATAAAATTCATACGGATTCATTAAGGTGTAATTCAAACGCCAATATGAATGAATGTCCTGAACAGCTTATACATAAAAAAACAGCAGTGCATGCTAATCTCCCACTAATATGAACCCAAACAAAATATTAGTTATTCATAACATGGTTTTGAAAGATAGAAATGAAAAATGGCACATCATTCCATTACATTGACATCGGGTATTTGTCAGACTCGGTGGTCGGGGTTGCATATCGTGATGACCCAACCGAGCTATATTGGCTAGAACATATGTTCTTGTAGGCTCTACTGTGCCAGGCAGGTCTATTGGAGAACGGTAAGACTAAAAGCAGCAACTCAAGGTCTGAGGGCGAAGTCGTACTGCTGACTGTAGAGGCGTGTGACAGCAGTAAGGTGTTTCCCCCGTACAACCAGCATCTGCAGCGATGCAGCCTTCTCACAAGGGAGGAAGGGGTTAGAAAAGGTTGACCCTAAAAATGCCACACCTCACATTACCTCACAGATTTCCGTCTCCGGCGGTAAGGCCCTTTGAAGAACGGAGCTAACACATTAAAAAGCTCCCACGAAAAGACCGTGCATGACCAGCCTCAATCAATCGTCCCTCGAGGTCTGCAGTCACGCTCTAAGCTCGTTAAGTCCAACATTAATCCAAATTCCTTTTCAGGTTGCTCAAGAAATACCCTTCCACGGTGTGGGCAGTCGGGAAGTGATATCACCCCTCATACCCTTAACAGCACACGAGGCCAAGTCGGTCACATTCAAATCCCTCCTACACCTCTAAATAAATCTCTTATCTCCACAACTAACTCTTCTCACGTCCCTTTATCACCTCGCACCGCTAGGGTAAACTATTCGAGTACGCGGAACGTTATTCCTGATCTCCTGAAACCACGCTCTAGACTACACGTAGGAGCTTTCAACGTCCGAACACTGCCAAATAGGACAACAGGCTTCCTCAGCTAGGACTTTAGAATCTCGCGCCATTGGTGTGTGCTGCGTCTCCGAAACGCGCATATAGGAGCCGAGTAGTGTCATTCATTTGACCTCACTATGTCAAAGTAACGAACCAACTCGATTTACGCTTCGTGTATCTGGAAGTCCTGATGCTGCTTCCCGTGGCCTAGCTGGTGTAGGTATAGCATTGAGTCCTAGGGCAGAACTAGCTATCTTAGACTGGATCCCTGTAGACAGTCGTTTGTGCGCTGTCCGACTACACGGAACAATAAGGACTCGAAAAGATAGGGACACTCGTCGTTGCCTCTTCGTCGACTCTGCCTATTTTCCCACTGACTGCAGCTCAGATGATGTAAATGATGAGTTTTACAGAAAGCCTTCCGGCCTCAGAAAAGCTAGGCCCTCTGATGTAGTAATAGTGGCTGGTGACTTTAATGCTCAAGTATGTAAACTAAGCGAAAGGGAAAGACACGTAAGTGGATCTTATGGTGTCGTGGCTCAAAGAACAGATAATGGCGACCGTCTGTTACAACTATGCTCAGGTAACATGGCGACACCCTAATTCGTCCCAACGTTGGAGGGGCTCGATAGAAGACTGTCGCTCATTCTAGAGCACATGATTAGATTCAGATCATGCTCTAGTACGAGCGCGTATTTGCCTGGGTCTTACTGGACGTAGGAAAGACGCTGCAAGGAAACTTCTTAGGGTCCTGTTTAGTGATAGTCAAACTAAGAGTATATTTGAGGAAAAACTAGAAAAAGTTAGGCAACCATGTAGGTGATACCCACCCCGAGGCAGCATGAAGTGATATCCAGGAAACTGTCGAAACAGCAGTGATATCTGCTAGTAAGGTAAACCACAAGGTTAGGGAGCAACACTGGATCTCAGCAGCATCTATCGCATTGATAGATGCTCGGGAACTCATTCCGTCTGGATCTGAGCATGACGAAGAGCGGAGTCAGCTTAAGCGCTAGCTGACAAGAAGCCTACGCAATGATCGTGAACAGTGGTGGGTAGCGAAAGCAAGAGAGATGGAAAAGGCAGCGACAATAGGTAATAGCAGACAATTGTTCAGACTCGTTAAGGAAACCGGTATTAGGAAACCAACTGTTAGCGAAACAATCTCAGAGAAAGATGAACATATTATTCATTCTCAATCCAGGAGATTGGATCGATGGGCAGAACACTTTAGGGATCAGCTTAAATGGCCTTCAGCCACACTTCGGTTTCCCACGATCTCCAGTCAACCTGAATGGCAAGTTAATGTAGGTCCTCCGTCTCTTTACGAAGTTGAAAAAGCCCACACAATTAAAGAATTGTTTCTACAAGAAACGGCACAAATATTAAGCAAATAGAAACAAGTTAGATAAATTCAAAAGCATTATCAGTTCCAAAACATGAATTCACACTTAATACCCACCGGGAGGATCCATAAAGTCAAAATGCACCAAATCATCAATTCCCAGTTTTTTCAACTGGAGGACAACAGTACCCAGGTTTGACCGGAGAATTTCTGGATATGTGTTCTCTTGCATCTCATTTGTATATGCCTTTTCTGTATACAATCTAAAACATTTTCCAGGTCTTGTACGCCCGGCCCTCCCGGCACGTTGTTGTGCAGAAGCTTTGCTGATAGCAGTGACTAAGAGAGATTCAACACGAATACGAGGATTGTAGACTTTCTGCTTTGCGAAACCTGGGTCAATAACAAAAACCACTCCATCAATTGTGAGGGATGTCTCTGCAATATTTGTGGACACTACAACCTATGAGGAAGATCAACAAGGTGAATATATTAGAAACACTGGAAAGTAGTACTAGTATATCCATGTTATATCAGATAGGTTAACTATGATAAACCTATTTTTTGGATGAAAAACTGTCTACAATCGTCTCTTACGTCGATTCAGAAATTGTAATCATTTACACTACAGAACAATATAATTGATAAGCCCAAGGAACGATTGTATTACACTTCTGATTATTAAAAATAAACCACCCATATAACACATGCTCTTATAACACCCAGTGTCGAATCCTCAAAATATAAAACCTTAAGTTCAGTGTATAGATACCGACTCAGAAATCTTTTTTATAAGCAATAGATATTATAAGAGGGAATTTTGTTTGAAGTGTAAAATATCTGGTTCTGTTAAGTGAAAAATCAAAACAAATGTAAGACAATAGTAAACATCATCAATAAATACATTTTCTCCGTAGTATATTAGGTATGTTGTATCTTTATACCACCTATGAGTGCAGAAACACACATTTCTAAGGAATCCAATACTGTGAAATGGCACATCGTAACAATAATTATGGTGATAATATTAGGATATGTCAGTCGTCCAAATAAGCTAATTGGATATATGTGATTAAATGGCATAAAGCTTTACTTTACCTACAACAATTTCGGTTCACTTTCAAAATAATTTATTGTTTTTTGTAACTATCTATTAACTGTAGTAACTAGGTGAAGTCAAACTTCATACGGCAAAATTTATCGTAGATTGTATTTTATGGAATACCATTCAGATTGTTCATAGCAATCAAAGTCGCACTTTTTATGGGGTGTATGCTAAAGGCAAAAGATAAAATATACCTAATATGTTAGTCACGTAACTGAGAATAAGTTATTCTTAGGTACACAAATCACAATAATAAGGTTAAAATGCAAAATGCACTCCACCAAAAATTGTTCTAACAGGATGGCTACTGTAAGTGGAATCATCTAAAAATGAAAGAAATATATTAAAATCCTATCTGCAGAGTAGTGAACTACCACCTCATTACAGCACTTATTACATTTAACTTGATCCAAGTCGTCACTAAACTTCGTTTCTAACACCCAACTTTGGGTTAACGGTTCCGACAGGATCATGTAAAACTCACTTTATCTACTTTGATTAGGAAAAACCTTAAACCAGAGTACACAGGTCTGTATTTAGTTCGCGAGTTACATTACTTTTTTTCAAAATAGAAGGAATGAAATAAAATCAGTTAGCCTGTAATCAACACTGAAGTTTACCTAGTTTGATTCGTTTGGAGTACTATTTCTGAATTCTAATAATGACGTCTTCTAATAGTCTTTTTCACCAACCAATTGTGATTAAGTGTCACGATGGCCGATAAACACTTGGATAAGCTTCACTTGAATCGCTAGTCGCTTGATATTAGTACCTACACCAGCTAGGCCACGGGAAGCAGCATCAGGACTTCCAGATACACGAAGCGTAAATCGAGTTGGTTCGTTACTTTGACATAGTGAGGTCAAATGAATGACACTACTCGGCTCCTATATGCGCGTTTCGGAGACGCAGCACACACCAATGGCGCGAGATTCTAAAGTCCTAGCTGAGGAAGCCTGTTGTCCTATTTGGCAGTGTTCGGACGTTGAAAGCTCCTACGTGTAGTCTAGAGCGTGGTTTCAGGAGATCAGGAATAACGTTCCGCGTACTCGAATAGTTTACCCTAGCGGTGCGAGGTGATAAAGGGACGTGAGAAGAGTTAGTTGTGGAGATAAGAGATTTATTTAGAGATGTAGGAGGGATTTGAATGTGACCGACTTGGCCTCGTGTGCTGTTAAGGGTATGAGGGGTGATATCACTTCCCGACTGCCCACACCGTGGAAGGGTAATTAGTACGAATTAGGATCAACCATCAATGCAAACGCATATGTGGGGTTTCGAATCAGATAAACTCATAAAATCTAAGCAAGGTTTAGTTAAAACATTTGGCTTTCGATAAGTAGATCTGTGACTTGAAACTTGTTGGATGAATTTTTGGGTGGGTAGTCGGATAACATTATTAGCCGCCTCACAACTGTTATAATTTACGTAACAAGTATCAGTTATTCCTATTTCAAAAAAAGTTTAGAGTACTTACTTTACACTTCAAGTAACATTCTTAAACAAATAAAATACTTTTAGAAGTGTTGTTATTTTCTGCTACATTTCCACCTGATCAATTTACGTTTGCTATCCTTACAATTTTTAAATTTTTTTGAGTACTATGTGTTAATTTGGAATGTATGACAAAGCTCATGTTAAGAGAACAGAAACTCGGTAATCTTTGACAGGACAGAGCCATTTTAGTACGGAATTTAGCAGTCAAAAATACGAAGACAATAACGACGGGAGTACAAAAATTTGAAAGTTAATTATTTTTCTGACCTAATTCGTGAAAAGAATGCAGGAAACAATGAACTGCATGCGTGGCTTACGAGATAGATACTCAAGAAAGGTAACGGTTAAACAAAGATTATTCAGGTGTGCAATCTCGATAGACCAAACCATATAATGAAACAAAACAAAACCGAATTGTATTTCGAAAACAGTTCTAACCTTTCGACCAACAGCCCCATTTGCACGTTTTGGAGGAGGAGATTCAAAAATTCTTTGTTGAAGATTTGGTGGAAGGGTAGAGTAGAGAGGAATGCAACGAAGTTCACCAACGTCCGGGCCCAACCCATCTACTTCTCTCTGGATACGTTTGCATGCTTCCTCAATCTCCTCTTGTCCCGTCAGAAACAGTAATATGTCACCCTCGATCTCTTCGCACATATGAATCTGGATTACAGTACGGATAGCCGCTTCGAGATAATCACGTTCTGGTTCTGGAGTATAAAATATCTCCACTGGATGAGTTCTACCGGGCACGGTCATAAGAGGTGCTTTGTGAAAGTAATCCTGGGTCATTTCGAAAAGGGAAGAAGTAGATGGCTTCATCCAACTCCAAATAAAATGTGATACAACTAGGATACATTTAACTAAACAAATACTTTTAAGATCTATTCATCAAACGGATAAGAACTATGTACTAACTTGGAATTTTCCAGCGTCCAAAGTCGCACTCATGACAACTATTTTTAAATCTAATCTTTGCTTTGTGATTTCTTTAAGTAGACCCATTAAAATATCAGTAGCCAAAGTTCTTTCATGGGCTTCATCCAAGAGAATAACACCGTATGCCTCGAGCAAAGGATCAGACATGCCTTCACGTAAAAGCATACCATCAGTCATGTATCTAAAGCAATTATGGAAAAGTCTAAAAGTTACTTCATCACAGTTCTTGAGGACGTGCAATCCTCGAATCGAATACTGTATCCTACTTCTTGACCGAGTTCAACATCCATTTCCTCGGAAACACGCTGAGCAACAGACATAGCTGCTACCCTTCTAGGTTGAGTGCAGGCCACTGCCTTTTTGGTAGGATACCGTCCAGTTACCCATTCCAGGCACCACTGAGGAATTTGGGTCGTTTTTCCAGAACCTGTTTCACCAACTAAAACAGTGACTTGGTTCTCCGATAATGTCTGAAAAAAATTCTCTTTGTATTCCCAAACAGGTAATTTGATACGCTTCCTCAGAAGTTCGAAGTATTTGGCACTAAATGATTTGCCTGAAACAAGGTACAGATTAGAACAATTCGATGGACAGTATTTAGTATTTTTCGCCATTAGTACACAATTCATACTGGTCAACTGTATACATAAACTGAATCATAACATCAAAGACAACATGAAAAAATAAGATATAATTCAAATCAATATAAACATTTCCGTTAATCTATTTTTTCCTGAGTATCCATAACGATGTCAGGAGTAAATGATAGTTAGGACCTTAGCTTCTAAGTACAAATTTGCCTTTAGGGGCGTGACATTAGTGATCTTGTGGAAACATGTATTTCTAAACGCTGTGAACTCGAAATGCACAATTGGCATAACTTGCAAGCATAAAGTATTTCTTTAAATTCTTATCCGCTAAAGTAACAGACTTAAAATTATTTCTAACATTTTCAATGTAGCCATCATATTCGAAACACTAAGTCCCAATAAGAGAAAGATAACCTACAAAAGCCAGTCTTATAAATGCAGATCAAATGTAATTTATAATGAAAGTGCCTGGTTATAAGTAGGAACAAGTTAGAAAAAAACGAACTACTAGTGCCCCTTTATCCATTATTAGAAGGGATTTACAATCTGGCTAATTAACATATGACAGTTTAAGATCAACAAACAGATTGAGATAAACGCAATTCCATTTGACTGATTTTGATCGCTTATCGTCCCAATTTATAAGAAACCACAAGAAATCCTGAGTCAGGTTCAAATTTTATTCCAAAAAGAGTATGCTATAAAGCCCACAACACAAATCGCTTATTGATTATATACCTCAAATATTTTGTTTGTAAGCATGTTATTTTACTCGAAAACTTCTGTTGAGTTGTACTGTATTTTGATAACAATTCATTTGACGATCTACGTCGACGATTTAGTCTCGCGACTTGTAATCGACCTGCCACATCGTATTATCGCCAACCAACCATTGAACAGTTTTTTATCTAGTTTAACGACTGCGCCGGGACAACCGAGAGTAATGAGAGCCTGCTCTCCCTCTCGAAATGCTCTCATATGGCCACGTGCATACAACCACTGCCAGGGAAGTCCTACTCACTGTCTTCTCGTGGCGGGGGTGCTGTTTACGAAGTCGAGAGGACGAAAAGCGAATGTCCGGCGCTTTAACTGGGTTGGCGGATATGGAGGATCTACCTAGGGGAGTTGAAAAACCGTGATTCCAAACCAATGGTGCACATGGGCCCCAGTATCCTGCAGGAACAAATGGCGTATGAAGCTACTGTTGATCACCGGCCACCACGGGACTGCATCTCCTTACGTTGTTCTACTACCTTGTAGATCAGACCTTTAGGTCGAAGGCTCGAGGAGTGGCCCCCTAAGAAAACCACCTGCTTCGGTGTAGGCACCCGGGCAGTATCACAGCTCTCACACATATCAAATGAGATTTGTGTGGCGCATATGTCTTCGGTGCCTCCTTGTACCAATGTTTATGTTTAAATAAATAAATGACTGCGAAATGTGCACCATCATTCATTAAAACTTAGAACAGTAGTTTCTTAACATCTCACTGTGGATCTCTATAAAATACTCATTGAGTGCAGTAGAGCTGTGGAGTGACGATGGTAGTGAAATATTAGGTAGATGCGGTAGACCACTAGAATGTTTTGACCTTTATCTGAAGTAGCTGGATGTTGAGCACGCCCATTCACTGGCTACCGTGACATGCGGTGAAAGCTTATTATTATTTATTTATTTTAACACATAGATATTGGTACAAGGAGGCACCAAAGACATATGCGCCACACAAATCTCATTTGATATGTGTGAAGGCTGTGATACTGCCCAGGTGCCCAAACCGAAGCAGGTGGGTTTTTTAGGGAGGCACCAGGTGGCCACACTCGAAGCCTTCGACCTGAAGGTCTGATCTACAAGGCAGTGGAGCAACGTAAGGAGATGCAGTCTCGTGGTGGCCGGTGATCAACAGTAGCTTCATACGCCATTTGTTCCTGCAGGATACTGGGGCCCATGTGCACCATTGGTTTGGAATCACGGTTTTTCAACTCCCCTAGGTAGATCCTCCATATCCGCCAACCCAGTTAAAGCGCCGGACATTCGCTTTTCGTCCTCTCGACTTCGTAAACAGCACCCCCGCCACGAGAAGACAGTGAGTAGGACTTCCCTGGCAGTGGTTGTATGCACGTGGCCATATGAGAGCATTTCGAGAGGGAGAGCTGGCTCTCCTCACTCTCGGCCGTACCAGGGTATTTGGGGGCACAGTGAAGGCTAGGATAGAACCAGGCTTGAAAAGCTAGGGCCAGTAAAGCAAAGTCACCGACTTTCAGTCGGACATATTTCGAAGATTGAAGACTTCTTATATGAGACCTGCACGATAATCGTCATATAATTGAAGGCATTTCAGTAAAATTTAATAAAATGGGAACTGATCAAGTTAAAGAGTCAACCTAATATAACCAGGAAGTGAGTGATCTTTATGAACTACATTTCCAAGCTTGGTGTCATCAGATTTCCATAAAGTATAAGCACTATTGAATTAACAAAAATGACCACTAATCACAATATTATATCAACGCTGTCAACTATCGTATTAACATATTTAAAAAAAAGACGAAACTGACCGTTGTAAGGATTTGTTTGTGCTGTGAATGGAGACTTATTTGAAGCATTCTGTTTAACTTTGACGTGATTATCTGGGGAGCGTGAGCGATCACGTGTATGATTATCCGGTCCATCAGAAAACCTGTGACAATAATACAGTAATAATGCGAAATAAGATGAGAATATGTCGATGAGACAGGTACTAACAAAAAGCGAAACACGTAAACTTGATACCTCCGCTACATTGCTTGTGCAAACTGTTTACTGAATTCAAAAAAGATACAGAAGCCTATTCGTCTTCAATAAAAGGATGCGAGAAATTTATAGTAAATACATTTGCTGAAAAACTACAAAAGGGCTAAGTAGTCATTGTAAACGATGATTACTAACATTATGAACGAAAACCCCAACCACAAATAAGATCTTATTGGTGTAGTGTTGAGCGCATTAAAAACGGAGAAACTAAATCACATTCTTTACAAAAAGCTACCAAATATGAATATTTGACACCAAGATACAATTATGAACTGGGTTATAAAATTACTTGACTAAGTACGACAGAGGAAACTAGTTTACTTTCTGATTCAATAAAAAGTGCACTTGAATAAAGGCTTTGCTTGCTGCAAAGGACAAAGATTTACCAGACTGCTTGAAGCGTAGATGGTGCTGTGTAGTTTAAGTACATAAAAAACAAGCAAAATGTAGTCCTAAACAAAAAAAGATTGATAGAAAAATGTTTTAAATCTACTCATTGTTCATGAAACTTATTCTCGAAATCAGCCTCATGAACGACAAGAACTTAATACTGCATATCATATTACATTTTCAACACCTCAGACTTATCGCCCATCTAGAGTCCAGACAATGAGCAAAACTTTAGGTTTCTAACACGTGGTAGCGTTATAAATTTTTTTATTGATCCTCAAACATGATGGCAGATACCAGACATGGTCCATAGTATTAAACTATCAATCAATCATTTACTACGTACGTTATGTGCTCAGCTTTGAGATACATCTTTATCTTAATGATACCACTCAGTTGCACAAGCCAGAATAGATAGGACGAATTTGAACCCAAAAGCTACTAATTAGGAACATGATGCTTTAACCATTGAACGACCACCACCAAATTAAATATTTTACATGATTACCTAATAAGAATTTTATATTTCCAGAGGGTCATCGGCTTTAGTAAAAACTGACGACTTTTATCTGGGTTGAAAATCATATACAAAAATACTAAACACAGGGTTCAATGGTGTTAAGTTGGAGGATCTCGTGTACCTACCCCAAGATGAAGAGTGACCCTCTCATATGACAATAGTGATTTTACGTTTAATACCAGACGAGGATAACTAAGTGCCAACCTTCAGGACTCTGATCCCTGTATGGTGGCGATGGATTTCATGTCCGTTTATCATTGCCAAAGGGTTACCAAACATTGGGTCGTCAGAAGTCTCAAAGAAAAATACTAATGTGAGACTAAAATTTCTACTGATGCCTACAACTTGAAATGTTATGGAACAGAACTTAAAAACTGGTCAGTAACGTCACCTCTATTTTCTACAAGATACTAAGTTATCATACTCTATTATTTTACACAAGATTTTCTGTTTTTTTTCGCAGCCGTACTTTTGAAACTACGTTAATAGACAGTGAAGTCTTACCACAGCTACAAAGTACTTAATAAGTACTCATTCACCGTACTTATATCCCTATAACTCGTTTAACCTGTCCAGTGAGTGTAGGCAACCAGCATAATCGCTTCAAAATAACTAGCCCAAATTACTCCAAACGACCCTGACTAGCAGCTTCGCAGGATTAACCGTGCATAAGATTGGACGAGAAACATGGGAGGAAGTGCATGAAAAATATGGGGCTACATCTATTTGTAGTCACACGTTACGACATATCTGGTGAATGACTACTGATCCGAGGGCCAATTCATAATAGTATGAAACGAATAAAGCATAACTCAATTAGATATAAAATCCTGAACGTTTTCAGTAATTACCTTGACCGTCTGGGCTTAGATTCACCGATATCAATCCTATGCCTTGACGACATCACACTAGGAAAGTACGAATGCGCGGGAAACCCAGCCTGTTTAATAAAACAACATCAATTTTCTTTTTTGAAAAAAAACCCATAATCTGGAAATCACGTCTTCAGAAGGAACAAAGAGTTTATATTCAAACAAACAGTTTTCTTGTCAGTTAGTTCTGGAACAGGTTAACGTTTCCCCTCGATGTTTTGTTTCAGGTTCAGATTTGTGTAGTAAGGACGGAAGGACTACGGCCTATGTTATTCAATTTGTAGTATTTTCGTGAGTGTTTATTCTTCGGTTGAATGAGTCAGTTTAAGGTGCGGACAACTCTGATTCGGCTAACAGGTTTCATGAACTGATGACTCGTGTGAAAACCTGTATACCACAGGAGTTTTGTCCGTTCTTGACTCTCCTACTCGTCTGTTATGTCCCCTGAAATGTCCCGATCTAGTGGGAAGAAAAAGAGGATGTTAGGTCCAAAATCACTTCTTAGTATTCAATACATAGAAATCAGACCATATCTTAATTTCGCTCTAGGACAAAGTAAAGAGGTCTAGCTTTTCCAGCATCTCTTTATATGATAAACTTGGGAGTTCCGGAAATCCATGGGTAGCTGCCCTCTCTATGTTCTCCAGGATATCCCAGTCATCTTTCAAACAGGGGCTTGCAGCCTGAAAGCAATTTTCAAGATTGTTTCTCACCAGGGTTGCGTAAACTGTAGTGAATATAGTAGTATCAAACAAGGTGAATGTCCATCTTAAAGCCGATGGGGTTATAAACCTCTTGGCTGCAATCTCTCAGCAGTGAGCCATGGCTTTAAGATCATGACTCACTGTCACGCTAAGATTATTGTGGGACCGAATTACGAGTACTGGTATTTCCCCTATGCTGTACCTATTTAACTTTGTATCCCCAATGTGCATGTTGGCACATTGTTCGCGCTGATAGGTCCCAGCCACTTTATTTAGACCAACTAATCAGAATATTTAGGTCTGCTCAAAGTGTTCAAAGTATTGGAGACTGCACTATAATTGGTAGTTTATTTACATACAGTACGTAGTAGATCTAGGATAGAACCTTGCTGTACTCCACTAAGTACTGGTTTCCAGGTGGACCACATCGAATTTATTCTTACTTTCTGTCTAAGACCTATCAACACATCATTAAGCGAATTCAGAAGATGTCTGGCAATGCCTGTAATTTCTAGCTTCAAGAGCAGTCTACGTTTTGACACCTTGTATTCGAATTGGGATTACCAATTGTAGCGTGGCGTCGAGTTGAGATTAACTATGAACACCGCTACCAAGAAACACGTGCCAAGCGAATCAGAAGGCGTAAGAAGCTCGTTCCAAATGACTCCATAAAATCCCCGAGAAGCCAAATATCAGAAGACAGTTAATGGACCAAGTCGAGGTTTATTAGCTGGCAATCTCGTGGCATCGAAAGGATACCGAGATCGTGCCAGGATACAACCTTGGTTACAGAATGTAACCGAATTCGCGCGAAGTTACAATCAAAGTGTAAGCGAAAGAATGGAAGCACAAAATAGCTGTCATTAGCACAGTCAAATAAAAGCACGTTAAAACAAACACTGGTACAGTTGATTATGATAATAATTGTTTTTATTAAACCAGTCGTGTTCTCGTGATAAACGTGAGTCACTACAACCTTATCAAATGTCTGTGTAGACAACATCCACTGATCTTCCATTATCTAGAACTTCTATTCATTTCTCTCTTGTTGCAGGGGGAGTTATTGTGCAAGATAAACCTATTAAGATAAAAGTAGCACTATGCAAACGATCCAACATGAACTCAACATGGTAGACAACTGGCGCGAACGCTAGGGGTTAGGGCTGAACACATAAAAATTCCTTTGGTTATGAATAGGAGACACGTCTCTTAAAATAAAACTAGCACATAGCAAGAACACATTGCTCAGATTGACATAAGTAACTGACCTAGGCGTACATTACTCACACAGTCTCAACTTCTGTGAACATATCTCAACTAAAGCATCTAAAATGAGAAAATTGCTTGGCTTCATTCTTCATGATTTTCTTCAGAATGAGTCTAAAATCATTCTTTATAAAGTGTGTGTAAGACCTATTGTTTAATAATGCTTGTTCTTATTTTCCAACCTATACTTATTCGATATACTTAAGGTGGAAGTAATAGAACTATATTTCACTCGCAAAATACTTAAGAACGACTCACTCATTGAATATAGTTCCTGATGCCATTTCTTAGGATTAGAACCCCTTTGGAAAAGAAGGCTTAGGTCCAATTTGATTCTCTATCTCGAACTCCTCAAAGACCTTATTAATTCCACATATAATATAGCTCTTGCCAAAGACATACATGAATACAACCTTTGAAACAATGTATCCACGATCAAATTGAGAAATACACATCAAAAACTTAAAAAGTTGCATTGCATAAATACTTAGAACGATCAAAATACTAACATAATAATGTGGAGATTGAATCTCGTGTGTAACGTGTACGCGATGCCACTTTGGAGAATATTTTGAAGATTACTCAGAATATCTAAAAGAATGAACTGATATTCGCTTTTATAGACTATATTTGTCTAACATGCATACTGTGAAACAATAAATGTTGTCGTTTATAGATCATGTCTGTAAAAAAGGCATGTACCTGCCATTGCAGAAATATATATTATTTGTAAAGACTGAGATAAGAATTTCATAAAAGAGAGGTATTAATTTCCAGTGGCTTTTAAATTTTTAAAGGCCTTGAAAGTTTTCATCATTAGACTTCATATCATCAACGAGTATTATTAAATTAATGATAATACAATCTACTAACCTGCTCTTGAGAAAAAGATCAAAAGCGTTTTACTAGCATTAAAATTTCACTCATTGAGCTGAAAACCATCGCGAAAAAGGTAAAGACAGAGTTTGGATGAGGGTTAGTTTTCCAGTTGGAGAATGGTAAGAAGATCGAAGTATATAAAAAAATTTAATGATCGAAAGCGTCAGAAGGAACATCATATTGCTGATTTAATTGTTCCGGTGTTATTAGATTAATGGTAGCTACGACATTATTCCTTGTACTCGAATTTATAAATTTGTAGTATCTTTTAAAATCACTATTTTAACCTCAGTTATTATTATCATTGTCTACAAACAGTTTGCTGTTGTACAAGCGTAGCAAAGAAACTTTCGTATTCCTTCAGAAGTCCAATTATACCCAAGTTTCAATTATGTGCACATAATATCCATCATTTTTTGAAAAAATTTGTAATATTTTGGGGAAAAATAGTTAACTTCAGAGAAAAAAGTGAAGGGAAGCAAAGTAAAAGCTATTTGGTAAGTACGTTTGTTAAACGGAACAAGAATAAACAATAATATATGTAACGACCGAACTGTCAATATTCGGTTTGAACACAGGACTGACGAACCAAGATTTATTCGAATCGAAAAGATTACTTTCTTCTGTATAGCGTACGAGGCGTTTTTGAGTTGCTCGTGTTAAATTATATCGGAATACAAACTCTGTGTTTGACTTAAACGATTCTAATTTGGGAAATAGAACAAATCATATCAAAAATACAAAATACCTCAAACGGTACAGCCTGTGCTATACAGTCAAAAGTTTCTCTAGCACAAAGAAGCGTGCTAAACAACATAAGAAACAGTTAATACAAAATAGTTCAATACCTGAGAATTAATAATAATATTCCCAACAATATAAGATCAAATATCTGACTGCAGAGATTCCAGCAATCGCCCTAAGCTGACAATCAAAGGTTAACAGTCAGACACTGAACCACACTGTGAACTTGCGTTTAGTCAAACACGACCTTACTGTCAATAGTCCGGCAACATGCAATAGAAAATTAGGTAGCAAAATGTAAGTCTTTAATCAAAATCACATAATAAAAGCTTAGACGAGGAAGACCGAAAAACACAAAGTGTGATCAAAAGAGATCTGAACAAAGATTAAAATACACAACAGGGAGAATAAACAAGTAAATGACAGTAATGTCCAACTTAATGCAGTGGAGGGATTTTCATCGTTCTCTTTCCGTCACAATATTTTTATTACGAAATGAATCAGTAGAAAAATCGTCAATGTAGTAAGATTCTGATGGTAGAATAAGAGTTTGTGCAACGATAGTTCAACATCGTGCGATATAAAATCTTAGATGTGAACAATAATCATCAAATATCAACTTGCGCGGGTCGTATATGAGTGAAAATGACAAAATGATTCCAAAAAGTCAGTTTATGTATGCGTGATACGTGATAGTATGTCTTTAATTATAAACTTTGGATGATTAAGAATTACAGATGATGTAGAAGAAAAACAGGGGAGAAAAATAATGACCTAGACCATAATCCTACATTATTATCAGCTTTTGATTTTACCAAGTGCCATAGGCATCATGTGAGATTATATGTATTTTAAATGGCCTAGATAAAGTTGTAGTATCCTCCAGAACAAGAAATTATTCAAAATTTAACAATACGCAAAGTCATTAATAATACACGAAAAAATGTTAACACTTTAGACCAAAGTAGTTGTCTGTGGATAAAAAAGGTAACAAATAGCGTTTATAACAGAATGGTTTATTAAACAACAAAGACGGTAAAACCTGTTATGGAATGAACGTTGCTTGTAAATCTGTAGAATTATGGTCTACTATGATATTAGTACTGCTCTAATAATAGACCTAATCCTGAAATTGTAGATTTGTCATGATATAACTGCCTAATATATAAGATCTTACTTGGAAGTCACACCATCGGCTACATCAACTCACTGTATCGTGTCAATTACCAGTACATTATGTAGAACAAGGTTAGGCTAGAGAAGGAACAATATATTTAATATGAATAGAAGATATAAGGTAACATTCAGCAGAGACCACGCCTGCATGGCCGAGCCATGCCATTCGATCAACTCCAGTCCATTCTATTCATTGTTCGCGCCTTCTCCATTGTTAGGTATTTCCCCGAGTTAAATATTGAATATCTATTTTCTGAGTAGTCTCGTGTTCACAGCTTTGTGGATTGTGTGGCTATTGTTCAATGC